ACAGAGGGTACATAACTCTGACTAATCCTACAATGTTATATTTGTAGAGGGTATACTAAGGGGAGGATAACTCTGACCAACATTATAGTGTTATAATCAATGTGTACAGAGGATATATAACTCTGACTAATCCAATGGTGTTATAACTACTGGCGTGACACAAACAAGCAATCATTACCACTCGGCTATTACTGACACTATAACAATGGGTCAGCAGTGCATCCCTGACCGACACCATGATTGATATTGATACAGCCATTATACAGATAGGGGGTATCTAATGGCCAAACTGTCTCTCACCATCTGTCTCCACATTGGAACTACACAAACACTCATTCAATATTTTATTTTTTGACAGTTCTATTTTATGAAGGATTCTTTATTTTTTCTTTGTAACAAAAACACAGGTGAAACACTGAACAGATAAAATCTGTCACAAACCAGTACTAAATTGAACTATCTCACACCGATATACTTATACTTATACAATCTCATACCAACACTTTGATTATTATATGCCAGTAACATAACTATATAACCATATCATATTCCTACCTCCACATATCAAATTCTGATGTAATACTTTTGACCAACCGTATAGCAATTCTGACCCACCATATAACATTCTGATCCAACCATATAACATTTCTGACAAACCAGATAATAATTCTGATCCAACCATATCACATTTCTGTCCCACCATATAACATTCTGATCCAACCATATAACATTTCTGACAAACCAGATAATAATTCTGATCCAACCATATCACATTTCTGTCCCACCATATAACATTCTGATCCAACCATATAACATTTCTGACAAACCAGATAATAATTCTGATCCAACCATATCACATTTCTGTCCCACCATATAACATTCTGATCCAACCATATAACATTTCTGACCCACCATATAACTTTCTGATCCAACCATATCACATTTCTGTCCCACCATATAACATTCTGATCCAACCATATCACATTTCTGTCCCACCATATAACTTTCTGATCCAACCATATCACATTTCTGTCCCACCATATAACATTCTGATCCAACCATATAACATTTCTGACCCACCATATAACTTTCTGATCCAACCATATCACATTTCTGTCCCACCATATAACATTCTGATCCAACCATATCACATTTCTGACCCACCATATAACTTTCTGATCCAACCATATCACATTTCTGTCCCACCATATAACATCTCTGTCCCACCATATAACATTCTGATCCAACCATATCACATTTCTGTCCCACCATATAACATTCTGATCCAACCATATAACATTTCTGACAAACCAGATAATAATTCTGATCCAACCATATCACATTTCTGTCCCACCATATAACATTCTGATCCAACCATATCACATTTCTGTCCCACCATATAACACTCTGTCCCACCATATAACATTCTGATCCAACAATATAACATCTCTGTCCCACCATATAACATTCTGATCCAACCATATAACATCTCTGTCCCACCATATAACATTCTGATCCAACCATATCACATTTCTGTCCCACCATATAACATCTGATCCAACCATATCACATTTCTGACCCACCATATAACTTCTCTGTCCCACCATATGGATGGTTTAGCATTCCAGTGTCCTCTTCCATTTCAGTAAAGGGTAACATGTGGCTAATGCTATAGATCATCTGTCTGTGGTCAGAACTGGACAGCCCCTAGTCCCCTATTGACCCCCTACCACATATCCCTGCCAGCTACAATAGCACTTTGACAACAATGGCAGGACATTACTGTTTATGGTGATGCTCATAAAAACAGTGTTAGTAAGAGATGAAGAAACAATCGCAGCAAGCTGTCCAACATCAATACGATTATCTTTTGTGGCACTTTTTTCTCACCCTGTTGTCATAAATTGTAGTCGGGATTATGGACATTGTTTAGGTATAATGTTTTAAGCAATAACTGGTATTAGGTTGGCTGCCGTTTTGGATTAAGCTTGATTTATTTAGCTCCAGCTTAGCTATAGATAAGAGGGCACTATCAGATTTACTCTCTGTTGTCTGATTCTACTTGTGAAAAAACCCTCTGAAATCACATTTATTACTATCACTATTCAGTATTTATGAAAAATAAGAGGTGAAAAGAATCACTTTCATTTTCAATTCAGTTGTATTTGTTGTTATAGAGTCACACTATAATACAAGGATAGAGAGCTCTTTTGAGGAGTAGATTTTTATTGAAACTTCCTTCCCAACCCACAATGTTTGTGTGATAATCATAAAGGTCTCCACAAAACCTTTCATAGTTTAGCAATGGGATCTTTAGACTTTACAAATGTCAGCCATGTTTCTACAAAAATAGAAGAAAAAACACTGAAATGCTAAAAATGCCAAGTGCAATAAATCTAAAAAGGCAATAAAAATTGTAAGAAGAGAGAGCAGAAGTTTCAGGGTTATTTTTTCATTTTTTTTTTCTGTTCTGGTGTCTGTGAGAGAGTTTTGGGGTTAAGATCTTGACAGGAAACAAATCATAATAGCTTTCTGCAGTATGTTTTGAAATGTTTTCTTTATCCAGCAGGCAGAATACTCTTACTTTCATCACTTTCTCATAAATCACTGATATCCAGGCCAATTTATTACCTAAACAAGATAATCTCTATGGTGAAGACTTATCAACGGGCAAGGATCTCCCCCAATAAAACTCTAATTGGGAACAAACTGTAAAGACAATTTGTTCAAGCCACTGAAGCTTGGTGAATACAAAGCAGGTAAACACAATTCATCAGAAATCTATAGCATTGACAACACACTGATAACAGGTAAGTCGACATTTCTAGCGCTAAAATCCATTTCTCTCTCATTGCTTAATTACAAAAAAAGAACTGTTTCAACAACCCTATCTCTGCCTGACTTCATCAGAGACATTGGTGGGTGTGACTTTTAGACATGAGTGAAAATATAACTGTATGTACTGAAACAGCAATGATATCAGAAAAAAGTAACTGTGTTACCACCCTTAGTTTTCACAATTGTTTTCAAAATAAATATTTTTGTACAAATCCAGATAAAAAAAAGCCAAAAATAAGTTTACATATGATGCCATTAAAATCATGTGATTAGTGTATACCCTGATAGGTGATTAATAGAAATAAAAAGGCAGGCTATTATGTAGAGCTAAGTTAATTAGATCCTTCACAGGGACACTTTCTACCTAGGATTGTAAATCAATAGTTAATTACCAAGAATCGGCCAAACTTGTTATTAATCATTAATGAACAAACATGGACCAACTTTAGTGGTAGTCTGACTCTGTGCCATGGGCAGTGCTCTAGGGTAATTTTAGTGTCACTATGTGTGTAATTTGCGTGAAATGGACATGAGCTCCTGGGAAAGCCAATTGTCATGGAACATATAATTTCTAAGCAGTAGCCATCACATGAGTATACACTTCTTAATTTCTTCTGCCATCCACTTGGAATTTTTTTTATACAGAATTAAATGCTTTTTCTTGCCAACAGCTGTTTTTCAATGACCAACAGGAGAAATAAATGACCACGTCAAGATAAATATTGGCTTTAGGAATGGCCAGTTCTTGGCAGTTGGAATGACATGGAGGTACTGGAGACCATACTTTGGTCCTCATGTTTTGGCTGGTATCATTCAACCCTACAATGATGTCTTCAGTAACCTTTGCTTGAGTGACAGCCGGATGGAACGTAAATTGTGCTTTTTCCGTTTGTGATTCTAATCTGCGAGTTTGTAACCCCTTTTCTGTCTGTCACAATGAATTGAAACAAACTGTTGGTTGTTCTCATTGTACAACAAGTATAAAAACTCTACAAGGAAAACTCAAACCAGAGTTTTCATGTTTTTCATTTTTTTTTTCTTTTTGCACATGAAATGTATGTTGTGACCTTTAACCTGCATTTCGTTGACACTAAACATTCCAAGAGAGCCAAGCCCACGTGTTAGGCTTTTACATATATAAAACTAATTTGTAAGATATTTGTTACGTAGCAATGTGCACAAATGCATTTCATTGGGCTGTCTGCATGTCAGTACGTCAAAAATTTATGTCCTGTTTCAGTAAAAATCTGTTTTTTCTTGAACTGCATTAACAAGAGGAAACAATCCGTTATGAAAATATATCATTTGGTCTTGTCTGCATGTAGCACCCTGGGGGCCAGGCATTCCAACCGTGTATAGCACCCTGGGGGCCAGGCATTCTGTCTATTTCATCTGTTGAGTTGTTAATTTGCCCATAGTTTTATAGCTGACACAAGATGGGTGAAGTATCCCCATGTCTGATTTACATCATTATGTTCCCCCATTCTTTATTTCTCCACCCCTGACCGGATAAGGTATCCTTTTACAAGAATTTCTCAACTTATTCCAAACAGATCAAGATGTTTTTGGTAAAACATTATTTCTGTGTTCTGACTGCTTCCCAGAAATCCATTAACTTACTTCAATGACTTTTATGCTATGACGAAAAGCTTTACAATTGAGAGATCTTACTGTTGTTTTAACTATCATTAATGGGGTTCAAACTACAATGTCAGGGGTCTTTGAAGGTATTTTGTTCACAATATTTTTTTTTTCATTATACCAGGGTATCAATGATTTAGAATAATCTTTTTCAATATTTGATAACAAAACACAAAGTGTCACAACAGAAAGCTTCAGGGAAAATGAGTTTGATAAATTACATCAAAATTCATTGTTTGATAAATACATCCTAATTCGTTGTTTAATTCTACTTAACACAAACAGTTAAGACCAACTGTGACCTGATGCTGACAAGTCATACTTTAACTTTACTGATAAATATTTACTAAATGTGTGTAGAGATTGGTGTTTTATAGGATTACTTTTAGAATAAAAACATATAAAACATCATCAATATGCTGTACAGAAATTACCCATGGGCAATTCCTAAAGGATTCTAACATACACTCACACCCACTTCCTAATAACCTTAAAGATATTGTTGGTTTGTAAATACCCACCTCATATGACCCTGGTCCTGGGCCTTCTGCCTTGATTTCCTTGAATCTCTTATCCTTAGTCACCATTAGACCACCTTTCTTATTAATTCCTTCTTGATGTTGGTAGGCTCCAGGACCTGTAAACATAACACAAGAGTTAGTCTTCAATAGTTAACCTGTCTTTGTGCTCACCTGTACTGTCTGGTTATCTGTCTTTGTGATCACCTGTACTATCTGATTACCTGTCTTTGTGATCACCTGTACTACTGATCACCTGTCTTTGTGATCACCTGTACTATCTGATTACCTGTCTTTGTGATCACCTGTACTATCTGATTACCTGTCTTTGTGATCACCTGTACTGTCTGATTACCTGTACTATCTGATTACCTGTCTTTGTGATCACCTGTACTATCTGATCACCTGTCTTTGTGATCACCTGTACTATCTGATCACCTGTCTTTGTGATCACCTGTACTATCTGATTTCCTGTCATATAAGGAAGAAGCCATGAGAAGTCACCGATGAAACATTTTGTAGAAATATATTCTGGCTGCTATACATGTGACCTCATTTTTAGAAGAAACGATATTGTGACACATACCCAACCCACCAAGATAAATGTCTCACAGGTCACTGTCAACAGTTAAAGAGTTGGACAGATAAAGTATCTTTATTGGTGATCTGCTCATGTTTGTAGAGTTTCTGTCACTATGGCAACTATTTTACTGTGTGTTACACAAATCACTCACACTGGTTATTATCGCACAAACTATCATCTCTATAAAAAATTAAAATACTACATGTCATCTTCAATGCAGTTTATGTCATATAACCATTTATATTGCTTTTTTACTGAATAATCAGATGGTTTTAATTTTCAAGTGTTCAAATTTGATTGATGAACTGCTTCCATTTCCTCCATGGTAATAAATAAGCTTTCACCACTGGCATCAGTCAAATGAACCCAGTAACATCAGCAGTGAAATTTCACAGAATATTAACAAGACCATTGCAGAGTTTCTTCTCTAATTCATCTCATTACTAGTACATTATATAACTGTTTTTATTATGTGGAATGTTTCTTTCTTTTGTTGAAAATGATGAAAAGCAGACTGAGTTGGCATTGGTGACCATGTTGGGTATACATGACGCAGTGTGTGACAAGTGTACACTCAAAGACAGGCGGCCAACTATTTTAAGAACCCGTTGGAACAAAAACGTAACTAATAAATACATCATATTATGTCAAGTGGTAATTTATGCTTATGCTCTAATCTGTTACCCAGCAGGTAAGACAATTTATAAGGAAACAGTTTGCCAAAGCACCATAACAGAGTGTTCACCAAATTGGAAGTGACTAGCTCCACCATTGGGAATTTTTTCTGTGTTATATCAGCACTGCGCATCGTGTGTCAGGTCATATGTTAGAATCAGTCCTAGCCCTACTATGACAGACAGAAGAACTGATACAGCTTTTTCTCCCCAAGGTCCAAATACATGGTTTGCTTCACAAGTTATTGACTCTGACACCTACAATATGTTATTGAATGAAAGTTGTCCACTTCCTTACATGTCCATTTAACTTACCTAATACATTTGACCCTTTCATTCTGAAAGTGAGGTATATCATGTGATGGAATCAGGCAACAAACATGTTTAGATGTGGAATGGAGAAAGAACAATAAGCTTCAATTACTGTCAATAGACCATACACAATATTTTGTTACACAATGATATAACATGAGTGTCCCATATTTGGTCATTGTTTGGTCAACAAACAATATGTGACAATACTGAGCTGTTATCACAGGCCTACCTTAGCTAACATCCCTACAAAGAAATAGTTCTGTTTGCCATTTCTACCAGAAAAAAAAGGAATGGCTTTCAAGTGTGATCCCAATAATAAAATAATCTTATTTTTACCAAGAAAGAAAATACTGACATTGTTACACCATGACGGGAAAGAAATACTAAATTTGTCAAACTGAAACATCTGTTAGTGGAGTTTCAGACTTGTAGATTCTCACATACTCTGAAAAACCTGATAGAGAGATGGACATGGAAGGACAGACAGACAGGAAGACAAACTGATCACCATACAGCACCCCATTCCTGATATAGGGCTGTATATCACTAGCACCAGAGAAGATGAAAAAGAAATGAATGTTATTTTTTATATCTCTTAAACATATAAAGATAAGAAATGGGTGATTTTAGCAGAATGATTTCCGGGGAAAACCATTTATAAATATTGTTGAGTCCCAAACAATGAGGATGTTACAATGTGTAACAGCAGACTATATATATTGATGTTGAACATTTTTTTATATCTGTTTTCAAAACATATAAATTGCTAGTAAAGTTTTGAAAAATCTGCCTGAAGTCTAGCATTTCAAGTATGAATACCTGTCATAACTAAGTTAGGTTTTCAGAATGTGGAGGTGGCCAGCAGAAATGTCCATGTAAACTCAAACATTGGTGGTCCAAAATCAACATTACCAAATAAGAAGTATTCTGGTATTGTATTTAGTCCAACTGTAAGGAGTAAGAAGTGTACTGAACAGGTGAAAACTTTAACAAGGCACTACAGTAACCATTACACCTCACCAACATATAACAATCGACAAAAACCATTGGAAGACCATGCAGTTTTAAATTCACTTCCAGAAATAAGCGACAGGAGAATTACTGTAGAATTAAAAGTTTAAGCTGTAATAAGAAAAGCCAATAGTTTAAACAATTATTTTTATGATTACCCCACCATCTAGAAACCCTAACCTTGTTATACGATTACAACCCAGAATCGGAATTCCATTACAACGTTGATGACATCAGCATTGTACTAGGACAATAATTGAATTTACCAAACATTAATTCCTCGTCTTGGTCCACAGATAACAACAATCTATCTGTAAAACCTCCCAGCATCAGAAAAAATATTCCATTATCAGTCTCAAACTTGTTATCTTGATTAAGTTAGTGTTACGATACATATATACAAACACAACAACTTATTGGGAAACAATTCAATTATGAAAGGTGGTTTCTAGACAGCTTACACAGTGTTTCTGTTATTACAGTGTTCTGGAATTATTTTATGGAAATTGGAACCTCACAGTTTTGTAAAAGTGCTCTGAAAGCCAGATCGCACTTTGGTTCTGTATTGTGAAAACATCTATACCCGACCGAGCATCAAACATCCACTTCATATCATTTATCTTTTTATTGAATCATTCTTCTATTCAGAAATCACAGACCTAAACAAGGTTATATGTACACCCTTACTTCTCATTCCGTCCTCTCCCCCTGACCACTTTATGGAATTTGTCACTAAATGACAGGTTGACTAATAAAAATGTCACAATATCATGTCTCTGTACCAACCATTTATTATCATTTTTTCTGTTAGTAAGTAAGAATGTAGACCTCAACAAAAACTTGGCACTCAATTTTTTTATGTGTCAAGTGTATCAGTTGTGTTTCAAAAATCCTGTATAAAAGCCTAGAATGAAAAGTTACTGTACAGATTGTCCGACATGTTACACCTTTTGACTATAAAACAACTCAATTTAGAACACCACTGCTTTTATCACGCTTTATATAAAGTGAAATCTCTTGTTCCGAGTTGCCCACCATTATAAGTTTTTTTGTTTATTATCACTAATCAGTGTAGAATGCCAAGAATTCTCAGAAGAAAAGCCAAGCAAATATGTAGCATTAATCTAATCAAGTCCTGAAATACAACAAAATGATAAAGTTTTATTATAAACAGCCCAGTGTGTATATCACCAGTAAGATAAAACAGTCGGCTAACAAGAGCCTACCATTTTATTGCATCAATATCATTCCCAGAGCATGGTGCTGCTGGTCTGTGGGTTCCCTGGACAAGGTGGGGAGGGCAAAGTTCTAAGGGACATGAGCCAAGTTTTGTTCTAGCGTCTCTGTAGCAGTAAAAAGCATGGGCTGATTCTGATAAGATTATTTCATTAGAAGACATCTTTAGGTAAAACAAATTACCATTTCAGGTTACTGTACTGAACCTAAACAGAACAATGTTAGGGCTTGGGATATAACTACAATGTATTCCATCTGTTGACTACTGCCACACTTCAGAAAACAGGATTTTTTTATCCACTGGACCAAGCAATCTCTGAAACAAACTGACAAGCTATGTATGAAGGGTAATGGTACAAATGACAACATAAATCCCCATTATTTGCCTGATTTTCTGTATTTACACACTTTTTATCTGATAGTGGGATATTCTGGTATGTGTTGGGTTTGCCCATCTGAATACATCCGCCGTGAACCACATATCAGCCCAGGCCTGTAGTCGTGTACATCTTCCCTTTCTTTCTTGCTAACTCCTAGCCACTCAGAGACAACAGAAATGTAGCCAATTTTTACAAATTGCAGAGCATACTTGTCAATTTTATCAGACTGGCGGACCAGTATAAAGCAAGTTTAGGTTAATGTAAATTGAATGAGAGAGGTGCTGTCACAGGTTTTATCTAAATAGCCATTGTAGGGCCTAGTCCTGTCCAATTACCTCTCATGCCATCATAAACAGCACCAGCATCATAAGTCTGCCGATTTCTGTACCTATCCCAGGACGATAGGAAGATACTGACTGATTAGAAAACCACTGGGTAAGTTGTATTACACTGTGACAGGCCTTCACAGGCTAAGTATTATATAAGAGATACATTAAAACAATCTGACATATAAAATGGCAGCTCAACAGACCCTCAAAATGTATTCATAAGCAGGTTATGTTTGGTTCAAAAAAAGGATGCTTTTCTAAAGAGAGCACTTGAAAAAATGGGCAGAATAATTCTACTCAATTAAGCAACATAGAGTCATCAGTTTGAATGTTTTTATGGAAATTTTCTGGTGTGGAATCATTCCAAGCCTGATGGAGAATAAGTCTGAAGTCAGTTAGGGAATAAGTCTATATTCTAATAGAGAAAAATAAGTCAAGCATTTGCTTTGGAAAATCAGTCAAGAATCTTATTCAATAGTCTTGTAAGGGTATAAGTCAAAAGTTTGAACGGGGAATCTTGAAATGATGAGAAAAAGTCATTATTTCTCTCCAATTGAGCAACACAAAATCACCAGGTTTACTGAATGACTG